TCTGCATTCAATTGGGTGTATCTTTCTCTTTCTCCCTTGCCTTTCACTTCCCTTCTTTCCTCAGCTATTTGTAAAGCTTCCTCAGACAGCCATTTTGCTTCCTTGCATTTCTTTTTCTTTGGGATGGTTTTAGTTGCTACCTCTTGTACAATGTTGCGAACCTCTGTCCATAGTTCTTCAGGCACTCTGTCTATCAGATCTAATTCCTTAAATCTATTTGTAACCTCTATTGTATATTTATGAGGGATATGATTTAGGTCATACCTGAGTGGCCTAGTGCTTTTCCCTTCTTCCTTCAATTTAAGCCTAAATTTTGCAACAAGAAGCTTATGAGCTGAGCCACAGTCAGCTCCTGGTCTAGTTTTTACTGATTGTATAGAACTTCTCCATCTTTGGCTGCAGAGCACATAATCAATCTGATTTCTGTGTTGACCGTCTGGTGATGCCCATGTGTAGAGTTGTCTCTTGGGTTGTTGGAAAAGAGTGTTTGCTATGACCATTGTATTCTCTTGACAAAATTCTACCAGCCTGTGTCCTGCTTCATTTTGTACTTCAAGGCCAAACTTGCCTGTTATTCCGGTTATCTTTTGGCTTCCTACTTTAGCATTCCAATCCCCCATGATGTTACGGACATCATTTTTGGTGTTAATTCTAGAAGGTGTTTTAGGCCTTTATAGAACCGATCAACTTCGGCCTCTTCAGCACCAGTGGTTGGGGCATAGACTTGGACTACTGTGATGTTGAATGGTTTGCCTTGGATTCGAACTGAGATCATTCTGTCATTTTGGAGGTTGTATCCCAGTACTGCTTTTCCTACTCTTTTATTGACTATGAAGTCTACTCCATTTCTTCTGAGGGATTCTTGCCCACAGTAGTATACCTGATGGTCATCTGAATTAAATTCACCCATTCCTGTCCATTTTAGTTCACTGATTCCTAAGATGTCGATGTTCAGTCTTGTCATCCCTTGTCTGACCACATCCAGCTTGCCTTGATTCATGGACCTTACATTCCAGGTTCCTATGGAGTATAGATCTTTGCAGCATCAGACTCTCCTTTCACCACCAGATACACCTGCAACTGAGTGTCCTTTTGGCTTTGACCCAGTCGCTTCAGTCTTTCTGGCGCTACTAGTACTAGCTCTCTGCTCTTCCCCAGTAGCATATTGGACACCTTCTGACCTGAGGGGCTCATCTTCCAGCGTCATATCTTTTTGCCTTTTGGTACTGTCCGTGGGATTTTCATGGCAAAGATACTGGAGTGGGTTCCCATTTCCTTCTCCAGTGAATCACGTTTTGCCAGAGCTCTTTGCTATGACCTGTCCATCTTGGGTGGCCCTGCACAGCATAGCTCATAGCTTCATTAAGCTACGCAAGCCCCTTCACCACGACAAGACAGTGATCTGTAATCAAACATGTGTGTTGCATGCAGAAGTTCACTCTACTGTATGTCCAGTTGGGACTGGGAAAGGCTCCTGTCTGAATCTCAGAAGGGCCACTGCCATCAGTGCAGACCATTCTGAGTCAGTCCATTCTTGGCTTGGTTTTTGGTCTGATGGTTGTTCTCTTTCAGGTCCATGACATGGGGAAGAAGCTGGACTTTTTAGTGGATATGCACATGCAGCATATGGAGCAGCTACAAGTCCGAGTCACCGAGGTGTGCCCTTCCAAAGAAGCCACATCCCCTGCAGAGGACAACCGATATTCTGAACTGAAATCCATCCTTTACAAATACACTGAGACTTCCATTCATGAAATGCCTCCAAGCTTCCACCATGTCCCAGTGAACAAAGTTCCTCCTTTTGGATTCTCAACACAGGACCACAGCACAGGTCCACTTTCTTTGCCACTGGGTGGGCAAAACTCTGGTCGATGGGAGGCCATGCCTTTCTCAGCCTCCTACACAGAAAGACCCAATGTTTTGCCTATCCTTGCATTCATGGAGCCCCATATTTCCCACCAGTCACCCACAGGGGACATTCAGAGCCCCCACTCAGACAGAATCTCCTCAAGGCAGAAACACAGCCTGACAAGAGACAGTGACACCCCCTTATCCCTCCTCTCCGTCAACCACGAGGAACTTGAACGTTCTCCAAGTGGATTCAGCATCTCCCAGGACAAGGATGATTTTCTGTTTGGGCCAAATGGGGGCTCCAGTTGGATGAAAGAAAAGCGCTACCTAGCAGAGGGTGAAACAGACACCGACACGGACCCTTTCACCCCAAGTGGCTCTATGCCTCTCTCCTCAACGGGGGATGGGATTTCTGATTCTGTATGGACCCCTTCCGGCAAGCCAGTTTAAAATTCTCCATAGGGGGTGGGTGGGATGGGATGGGGTGGAGTCACTGGCTGGCTTCTTCTCGTAATGTAAACATAAACTTTGTATATCGCACTATACACACTCCAAGCTTCTGCACTCGACAACAAAGGACACCCATGGCTGCACTGCATGCTGGTCTTAGTGGTACTCATTCTGCAGCATTTCATACGGTCGATTAATGCGATTTTGTTCATGCGGCCAAAACTAAGCCGTTTAGTTTTGCGCATGGTGGTGCATGAGTTGACACTATAAGTGGGACAGACGATTTCTTCTGTGATTAAAATAGCGGACAGGATGTCCTTCCGTATAGCAACAGTCAGGTCTACGCAGGGCACGAAAACAAACCAAACCAACAAACCCCAACTGCAGACCATGCAACGTATCTGTAAGCAAAGCAACACCAATGAGTGGTGACCAATAAAACGTGAGTGCCTAGATTATGGAAATTGCATGGTGCTCATGTAAGGGGACTCTGGTGCAGCACCAATCCTGTTAGCTGGCACGACAGATTTCCGGAAGACCCTCGTTGCACCAGCTAATGCTTCTGGCAGTGTGCTGGGATCCTCTTCTGCGAGCACAGCATAATTTGCCGTAGTGCTCATGTCTTACTGGAAACTCCCTCAGTTTTCAGAGCAAAGGCCTTAGCTGAGTATCTGTGTATGTTTATGGAATATTAGCTCTCCCCTGGCTATCTGAACACTGGTTATAAATCTTGCTGGTATCCAGGCAGATTAATTCTGTTTATCCAAACTTCTGTTTATTTGACAATTTTTGGTTGTTCCTCATGGCCTTCTGATGTTACAAACATGTAGGAAGTCATAAAGCATAGGCATTCTTAAATCCCAGGAAGGCTTAAGTGCTTTTCTGCAACTCTTGTGCTCCAATGGTTTTGATGGGGCTTCTGTGGGTCTAATACTTTTTGATTGCATTGACGCCATGATCACCTATGAGCACAACCCTATGGAATTCAGACGGTCTGCAACCAGATCTGATTCCTTGATTTATATTGACTTAAACATGGTTTTTGGGAGTTTTAATCTTCACTGCACCAAGCTCAGTGTTTCTCTCATAAGGAACAGATCACAATTCACACTGTATGGCGGAGGTATGTCTCTTGCTGTGTTCCCCCTCTAGGATGATGTCACATATGAAGGGAAAATGTGAATCTACGTTATGGCAGATGTAACATGGACATGTGCTGGGAGTCCCATTTGGCTGGGGGCACATCTCATGTGCCCATTGTGAGTTTCAAGATGTGCTCTCACCTTCACACTTTGCATGTTTCTGGCAGGGAACTCCACGATAAGTAAGGCAACTGGGAGAAAAGGAGAGACTCAGCTCTGAATTCTGTTGAAAATACATCATCATCGTCATCATTATTTCATTTCTGTACTGCCCAATAGCTGAAGTTCTCTTGGTGGCTCACAACATAATGGCTCCAAAACATGTAACTGAGAAATTTTATTGAATTCAATTGGATTTTTTACACTTTATTTTTATATCATCTTTGCAGTGCAATGAATATGGGCTTACTGTAGTGTGCTCGGTGTGTCTATCATGTTTGATCAGTGGCTATGATCAAGGTTTTCACTGTCCAGGCCATGCATATATTGTGCAAAAGCAGCACATCACACCTGCTCTATGGCATTTTCTCCCTTAATATGCAACCTGAAATTGCTGATATTTCAGAAGTTCTGTAGGATTATTATTTTTTCCACCTGGAGCTTCTACTATAATACAGTCTACCTTCACTGAGACATTTGGTGGAGTCAAATCATCTATTTACTCATGAGAGATTGCTCTTTTGATGACACAATTTGATCCCTTAGCCAAGTGTCAACAGAGTCATATCCTTTAGCTGATTCTAAGAGTACATAACTTGGCACCAATCCCACAAAGATCTGCCAATATTTTTCTCTTGGGCTGACAGAAAGAAAATCAGGGCGTTTCACCAATAATATAGGGTTCTGCAGAGTTCTCCAGAGATGCATGACTTAATTTTCCCTTACATCTGTTTCCCCATCTGTAAAATGGGTCTCATTATACCATGGGAGATTTTGTGAAGTTCAGTTTGTGCATAGCTGCAAAACATGGTGAACTCCATGGAAAGTGAGTTAGTTCCCCACCCCCAAATCCCCTCTCCTCTTTATCACTCGCAGCATCTGCAGTACAGGGACATTGAGATGGGTAAAGAGAATGGCACAGGTGTTGGGTTTCCCCTGCACTGATGCTCATGTCTCTGCTTACAGAGGAGGAAGGCCCAATTGGCAGTCATTCTGGACCAGAATGAAGCTCATATTCTGTACTGCAGGTGTATGCCTCTTCACCGCATCCATAATGCAGAACACACTGATCCTATGTGATGCGATGACCTCTCCTTTTCAGGGGGAGGAGTCGTAGGACTCCAGCCATCCTCATGCCTACCCATGGAGCATTTCTAGGAAAATTGGAAGGGCCCTTCTACCGGTTCAGCTCTTTGCCACTCCAGCTCAGCACTGCCAGTTCTACCAGGCCGCCACTCAGCAAGGTCTCAGAGCAAGGTCCTTCCCATCACCTGATGCTTTGATCTGGATCAACAGAGCCTGGAGCCTGGATGCTGAACAGGTGCTTTGTCACTGAGCTATGGCTCCTCCCACCCCTTGTGACTTTAGCCAGGTCCACTCCCTGCCACACAGACTGGACCACTAGCCCAGCTGGAGCCTGCATCAGACCTAAATGAGGGGGTAATCCAAGCTCCCTTGAGGGATATTCAGCTGGGTTCTTGGTTTTGTATTCAGCAATCTCTTGCTCACTTGTAGTGGCAAGGAATATTTTCAAATGGATCTCCAAAATTTCAACAGCTGTGAATAACAACTTTCCATGGAGTTTGTTCATGCAAAAATCAGGCATGGGAACCACCAGGATGGCATCGGGCTGCAACTCACATCAGGCCCAGCCATCATGGAGAACAGTCAGAGATGATCAGAGTTGTAGTCCAGCAACATCTGGAGGACCTTGGTCATTCCCACCCTTGACATCTAGAGGTCTGTGGCCATGTGCCACTGCCTGGGAATAATTCATGTCAGCAGAATGACTCCCCTAGACTGGTTTGCATTTGAAAGGGGTGCAAGGGGAGGTGAGCTATTCCTTGCATATACCATGTACCATGTTCTGCATCCCAGAAACAGGCATTTGAAAGCTGTTGATCATGCTTAAACATGTGATTAATTTAATTGCCTTTAACTGGATCTTTTTTCCTCTTGATGGGGCTAATGTTGCATGGGACAAGTGCCATTGTGGCCCCCGAGAAGCACAGTATCCCACAACACGCATTCAGTTTAGGAAAACATTTTAAGGCAACTTGGCAAAAGTTTTTCAACAGTCTATTATTTTGCCAAAGCAGCCCCCTCCCTCTGTGGGGTGATTTTTTAAAATGCAAAATTCAGGATATATTTCTAGCTCTGATCTCTTAAAGAATATTTGAAGCATTTGAGTAGAGATGAAGGGATTTGTGCATTTCCCTTTCTCCCATGTTCAGATTTCTAAAATTTCAAGTTTTGTCCATGCTGAATATCAAGGGATTTTGATCACTGAAATGAAATTCTCGCTCATCTACACTGGCCACTTTCAAAAGGTACCCGTATTCCAAGCATGGAGGAGATACAGAATCACAGAATCATAGAATCACAGAGCTGGAAGGGGCCATTGGGCCATCAAACTCCCTGCTTAGTGCAGGATTCCAAGTTCGATCTCCCCTCTCAGATGGTTGTCCAGCTGCACCTTGCACGCCTCCAAGTGGGGAAGAACCCACAACCTCTCAAGGGGATCAGTTCCTTTGTTGCATCTGCCTGCCCATGGCTGTTACAGGTAAGGAAACAAAAAGGAGAGGATGCAACCTAGTTCATCATCAACATGCTCAATACCGAGAGATTCACATCCTGACCTGCAAGAGCAAAGTGCTCCCGGTCCTGCTGGGTGGAATAATTTCACTTCTCAGAGTTTTCAAACATTCAGACTTTTTAAGCCTTTCCATTCAAATATCAAGAAATTCCTGAATATTAGTAAATTCCAACTGAAATTAAATGTTCACCATTCCTACATTACTTTTCAGTGCAATTTGTGTAGTAGCTACAGTGAGCCCACGACATGAACAGGGACAGGAATAAGTCTCATAAAGCATAATAGGACTAATTTCTGAGTCAACATACTTAAGATTGGGTTGTGATCCTAATTGCATGTATTGGCCAATATGCTCTATTACCATAAATGCCACGTTCCATATGAGCAAGGCTGCAAATCCTTTGTATACTTGGGAAAAAGCCTCCTTCATCTTACTGAGGGTTGTTTCCAAATAGACACATATAGGATTGGGCTGCATAGGTGCTTAGGACTGAGGCTTTCTGGAGTAGGAACAGTGGCTTGGGGAGCTTTAACTTGTTCCCAGTCTAGGAATAGCATCCAATGTTAATCCTACTTAGAGTAGACCCATTGAACTGAAGGTCTTGAGTGTGGCTGTCTTACCTTAAGCCCCATTCATTGAAATGAGTCTTCTTTCAGTAGGTTGTACATTGGATACTGTCCGTAACTCCCAATCCTGGACCCTTCCTTAGCAGCACCCTTCTTAACCCTACTGTGAGTCAAGACGGTACCCACGGCAAAGGGCATGCTGTTCTTGATGCTTTTTTGTATTTGTAAAGCCCATCAAGGCAGTAGATGATGTTCAACAATGAAAGGGAACACAGCCTTTCCTTCAGACTTGCAATCCAACTCTTGTCATGTGCATTGGCTAAGAGGTGGGCATCCATGAAACCCTTGCTTATGTAGACTTCTGCGGAATGAGTCAGCAGGTTCCACCAACACACCTTCCACCATCTGCTACATTCAGACTCCAAAACCTGCTTTACAAAAATGCTGATGAGGTAACTTCAAACGCTACTCTCTGGAAAAGGAACCTTTGCTGTCCGGTGCCCTGGTCTCCCAGTTCCTTTG